TGTGGTGAATACATTTGTGATGCACTCTCTCAGCAGATCTCAAGTATACACTTATTAAGTGTAGTTACATTGAGTGTGGTACATTAGGCTGGGCATGGTGGCTCACGCCTGTAATCCCAGCACTTTGGGAGGCTGAGGCAGGCAGATCACCTGAGGTTAGGAGTTTGAGACCAGCCTGGCCAACATGGTGAAATCCCGTCTCTACTAAAAATACATAAATTAGCCAGGCATGATGGCAGGTGTCTGTAATCCCAGCTATTCTGGAGGCTGAGGCAGGAGAATCATTTGAACTCAGGAGCGAGGGGTGCAGACAGAGATGTCCATGCGACTTCAGCTTGGGGGACAGTAGACTCGTCTGTTTAAAAAGAAAAAAAAAAAAAAAGCGCGAGTAGGCACGGGGCTCACACCTGTAACCCACCCCTCTTGGGAGCCGCGTGAGGCGGCGAACGGAGCAGAGTGTGAGAGTTGGACAGGTGAGAACCTGTCTCGTAGCAAAAATATAAAAATTAGCGGGCATGAGAGCGAGCGTGATCCAAGCCTCGGAGCTGAGGGCAGAAGGTCGATTCAGCCGGGAGATATGGGCAGGTTGCGAATGAGCCGAGATAGCACCACGTGCACTGCAGCCCTGCCGACGGATGCGGAGACGTCTGTCTCAAAAGAAAAAAACAAAAAAAAAAAAAAATCTCATTCAATCTGTTGACAGAGCTCACATAGGCCCTGTTCGATATCGTCGGCTTAGTGTGTTGAATATTACTGCAATACACAGTAGGAGTGCAGGTCTACTCTTTGAGGATCGCCTGATTTCATTTTTTGCACTGATCGCAGAGAGTTGAATTGCTGGAACAGATGGATAATCTTTGTTATAGCCTTTGAGAAGGCGTCTGCTATTGTTTCCATAAGGTGAGCCTGTGATTACAGGATCGCATAAGGTGGCCTTCTTGTTTTTTTTTTTGGCCACATAGCTGATCATGGTTAGCGTTTTTGATATAATACGCCATCCATCACCAGTGGTGGGCGAAATTCTCATTGAAGATGCCTCAGGTGTCTTGTGTGTTCTCTTTACTTTCTGAATTCCGTTTCCTAACTTGGGAAGCTGTCCGCCACCTGCTCACCCTTTAAGTGCTGCATGAAGACCAGCCGGGGTGTTGTCGTCAGGCCTGATTATGGTGAAAAGTCAGGAACACAGGTTCAGACAGGGACACTTTTTCCTTCAAACCGATGCTGCCACTCACAACATGAGAGTTCAGTTTTACTTCCTGCATCCCTTTTCTTTTACTAAAAAAGGATGCATTCAGAATATCCCCAAGAGATTCAAACGTGATGAGGGCAACTGCAGTGCTCTCTGAGAAAAATGGAAAAGAAATACTGTTAGTGGCCGTCCATCGTTTGGAGAGAAAGGACAGTAGTGTCTAACATGAGGGTCATAAGGCAAGCAAGGAATGGCTAAAACTGTTCTTGGAAATATTTATAATGCCCCACATATTATAAGCGGTTTATGTGCAAAATATGCTCCATCAGAGTCCTGAAAATATTATACAAGTCCTGGAGCATTATAACCAGAGTTGTGAGGCAAGATGCTTGTCCTCAGAAGGCACGTGGAACTCAGGCAGTCTAAGAAAATCCCACTCTCTCAGCCTTCACCTCAAGCTCACTCTGGGGTACCTAATTTAGTGGAATGGTATGCCGAATGACCCACTGTATTTAATTAATTCACTCCTTTTCTCTCTCTCTCTTCGTCTTATCACTTCCTCTCCCTGTCTTCTTTCCCCCTCCCTTTTCATGAAGCCACAGTTTAATGTAAGAGCTTCAGGCCGGGAGCGGTGGCTCACACCTATGATCCCAGCACTTTGGGAGCTGAGGGCAGGTGGGTCATCTGAGGTCAGGATTTCAAGACCACATGGCCTACATGGCAAAATCCCATCTGTACTAAAAAATACAAACATTAGCCAGGTGTGGTGGCGGGCACCCTGTAATCCCAGTTACTCGGGAGGCTTGAGGCAGGAAAATCGCTGGAAACCCAGGAGGCAGAGGTGCCAGTGAGCTAAGATGGTGCTACTGCACTCCAGCCTGGGGCAACAGAGAGAAACTCTTCTGATTCCAAAA